AGCCTGGCACTTTGAACTTGTACTTAAAGCCTCCAAATTATAAGAATAGACTCCTGTTTGTTAAGGCCATCCCATTTGTGGTATATTTCTTGTCAGAGCGGCACTAGGTAACCAGAACAATGTCATTAAGGTCAACTCTACTTTGAGAGAGACCAGAATGTCAGTTTGTCATACTGTGCTGGCTTATGGGTTGCCATGAAGCTGGAGGCTCATTTCAAATACCAGCAGGGTCACCCATGGCAGACAGGTTTCAGGGGAGCTTCCAGACTAAGAGAGACTCAGAAGAAGGAAAGAGCCATCCACTTCTCAAAGTATTAGCCAGTGAGACCCGTATGAACAGCATGAAACACTATCTGATATATTACTAGAAAATCTATGAATAGCCCTGAAACATTGTCTGATACAGTGCCGGAAGATGAGTCCCTCAGGTTGGAAGCCACTCAAAATACAACTGGGGAAGAGCTGCCTCCTCAAAGTAGAGTTAGTCTTAATGATGTGGGTTGAATAAAAGGGAATATACCTGTGACCATATATAAGATTGGCAGATGTATTTCTACGTATATGTTTGTATATAGTAGAAGAATGTCCATATATATAATAGAGCTAGCCCACCAGCCACTCCTCGGAAGGAAGGTTGGGCAATCCTACTTCTGTAGTGATACTGCCTCGGAAACCCAAGGAGGGGTCGCTATGAGTCGGGGCGACTCGACGGCACATAACAACAACAACAACAACAGCAAGGAATAAAGTTATGACAACTTCTTAGCCATAGCCAACCACTCTGAGGGAGCAAGTAGTTGGACCTGTGGGCTCAGGACCATGGTTGCAGAGGTCATCATCAAGCTCAATTGGCATAACATACTATACATAAAAACATTGTTGTACATCTTACTTTGAAGAGTAATGACTAGGGTCTTAAAAGCTTGCAAGCAGCATCTAGATGCAACAATGGGTCTCTCCTAATCCAGAGCAAAGAAGAATGAAGAAGATCAAAGGCACAGGGAAGTGATTAGTCCAAGGGACTAGTGGACTGTACGAACCTCAGCCTTTGTGACTGTGAGACCAGAAGAACTAGATGGTGCCCAGCTACCACTGTCAACCACTCAGAAAGGGGTCAGTGAAGGAGATCCTGAATAGAGTAGGAGAACAATGTGGAACAAAACTCAAATTCATTAAAAAAAAAAAGAAAGAAAACAGATTTACTTGTCTGATAGAGCCTGGTGAGACCCCTGAGACTATGGCCCCGAGTTACCCTTCAGATCTGGAATTGAACTCACTCCTGTGGCTTCTGCATTAGGTAGATACATTCCTTAGAACTATCAATCATGAGAGAACAGAAGGGCAGTATTTGCAAAGGGCGTTAGCTCATGGGGCAGGAATGCATAGGATAGAAGGACACAGGGAAGAGGTAACTACCAGGAGGAAGTGGGAAGAGGACTGTTAAAGTGTAGGGAATTGCAGTCAATGTCATGAAGCAAGATGTGTATGAACTGCTATATGGAAAATGAATTTACTCTGTAACCTTTCACCCAAATCACAATTAAAAATTAATAATAATATCTTCTGCTTAAGTCTTTTTGTTGCAAGAAGTATTAACTGTTCTTTCCACTTAACTCACACACTGGGAGGAAGGATGGTATCCACAGTAACCCAAAGCTACAGGAAAAAGAAATGAACTCTTCCCACCTTCCTAGGCACCCTTGTCCACCTCAAGCTGGTTGCTTTGAACACTAAGGCATATAGCCCAGCTTTTAGCCAAATTATCTTTGTCTTTGCTACACAGAATCCTTAGCTAGTCTATTTCTGTCTACCTTCACTCCACCCGCACCCTCAGATATCAGTCTTCCTTGGCACTACTAAGCTACCTCAGGAGTTACCTTGTGGCATCTCCTCATCTGACTCTGAGAAAATTAAGTGTAAAGAGATCTGTCAGGGTCACACAGCAAGTTGGTGGTGTAGCCAGGACTAAAGCTCAAGTCTTGTGACTCTGAACACAGTTTTTCTGTTACTTTGCCTTGCTCTGGTACTTGTGTCTGCTGACTTAGGGGACGCTGTGGTGAATAGAAGGTGTGAAAGAGATAAAGTGAAAGATTAAATGCAGGAAAAAATGGATGTCATAGGGTTGAAATAAACAACAAAGGCACATTGACTAGTTTTTTTTTTAAGTTTACATTGCTTCTAGGTGGATTTTACCTGATGTTTATAGAGCTATTTCATTGGTAATTGACATAGATAGAAACTAATCCTTTCCTCTGAGTTTTAGCTGGCTTACAAGTATATATGAAAAATAATGAATTTACGGGTGTAGGTAGACCAAGTTTGAAGATAGATGGGAGAGAAGGCAGTGGAAATTGCCTACTCCTTCCTGAGTTGTCTTTCTTGAGAATCCAATTCTCATATGATTGCTGGCGTTTAATAGTAAATGTCAGAGAAAAGAAAAATGGCAAGAGAGAATAGATTTTCCACTAAGGCCTTGGGGGAAAAAGATGCTGCATAATAACCTAGTGAGATGGGACCACTGCTTATCCCAAATCACAGTCTGAAAAAGACAAAGTAGCTGATGCAAAACTAGTAGAGAGGAGGGATAGAGCAGGGTTAGGAGCTCATCCATGAGGGTGCTTCCCTGGCCTTGTTTTTGGTTGCTGTGGAGTGGGCACCAACCCACGGGGACCCCATATATCACAGAACAAAACATCACCAGGTCTGGTGCCGTCTTCGTGATCATTAGTATGCAGAAATCCATTATTGCAGCCCTTGTGCATTTTAAGTGCCTTCCAGCCTAGGGGACTCATCTTCCAGCACTGTAGTAGACAGTATTCAATTGTTATCCATAGGATTTTCATTGGTTAATTTTCAAAAGTAGATCACAGGCCTGCCTTTCTAGTCTGAGGAAACTCTGCTGACTCCTGTCCACCATGAACGGCCTTGCCAGTGTTTGAAATACCAGTGGTGTAGCTTCCAGCAGCATGCAAGCCACCACAGTATGACAAACTGACAGACAGGTGATAGTCCCTTGCCTTAGAACCTTGAATGTATTAGCGTCTCTTAAAGAACAAAGATGTCATTTTGAGGACAAAGGTGCTTGATGGTATTTTCAGTTGCCTCATATGATGCAAAAGCTAGACAACGAATAAAACAGACTGAAGAAGAATGATGCCTTTGAATTATGGTGCTGGCAAAGAATATTGAATATACCATGGACTGCTAGAAAATGAACACATCTGTCTTGGGAGAAGTACAGCCAGAATGCTCCTTAGAAGGGAGGATGACAAGACTGTGCCTGTTCTGGTTCCTAGTGCCACTCTGACAGAAATATACCACAAATGGGTTGGTCTTACCAAGCAGGAGTTTATTCTTACAATTTGGAGGCTTTAAGTCCAAGTTAAAAGTGTCAGGCTCTAGGGACTGGGTAAAAGCCCCTCAACATTGGAGTCCAGCTTTGCCTCCTGCTCCCGGCCCACTGGAGCTAGAAGCGTTTCTTCACTCAGACAGCTGTTGACTGCTGAGGCTGAGAAGCCCCAAGGTTGACAAGTAAAAAGGCACAGTCCCGATGTTACCAATCCACACGTAAGGCCATTAACTTAAGTCCATTGTAAGTCCCAAGGTTGTCAGAGCATAGCAGGCTGCTGAGCAACGACACAGCTACATGCAGGATCCAAGCGTGCCATAAGCTAGAGACCATTCCCAAAGCTTCTCCTTAAATACAGGAAGCAGACCACATCACAAAGGCAGCTACCCAGCTGCTTGTGGTAGATCTCACCATGGAGTTGATTGCCAGTCGCCTCATGGGGATTAACTACTACCAGCTGCACGGCCACTCAACCAGGCCCAGCCAAGTTAACACACAAACCAAACTACCACAGTGTCTTTTGTCCTTTGGTCATGTTATCAGAAGGGACCAGTCCCTGGAGAAGGACACGATGCATGGTAGAGAGTAGGCGAAAAAGAGAAAGCCCCTCAATGAGATGGATTGACATTGGCTGCAGCAATGGGATCATAGCAATGATTGTGAGGATGGTGCAGAACTGGGCAGTGTTTTGTTCTGTCGTACAGAGGGTACCTATGAATCTGTACTGACTCCATGACACTTAACAACAATGAAAATGATTTAGCCCTCTGAGCACTGTTGCAATTCCTTGGTCTCTCTGGCTTACACACTGGGTCACGAGGAAGTCAGCGGCCAGAAATGCTTAGCTGTCAATCAGTAACTGAATTCCAGTTCCCTGGTAGCATAGTGCCTAAGGCATTTGACTGCTAACCAGAAGGCTAACGGTTCAAACCCACCAGCCACTCCTCAGAAGGAAGATTGGGCGATCTACTTCCGTAGTGATACTGCCGTGGAAACACAAGGAGGGGTCGCTATGAGTTGGATCCAACTCGATGACAGTGAGTTGGTTGGTTGGTTGGTTATTGTATTTAAACTGCCAACAAGCCTCTTATTCCCATTTACCTTTCTTCTTGCTGCCTTTGCCTTTGACATTTTGTTATGTTCTTTCCCAAACCAAAACCAAACTTTCTAATGCTGAATTGATTCCAACTCATAGCAAATCTTTAAGACAGAGTAGAACAGCCCCATAGGATTTCCAAGGCTATAAATCTTTATGGAACCAAACTGCCACATGGCTCTCTCGTGGAGTGGCTGGTGGGTTCAAACCACTGACCTTTTGGTTAGCAGCCAAGTGCTTTCACCACTGCACCACCAGTGTTCCTTATATTCTTTCCAGGGAGAGCAAGATGCCAAGAAGGAGACCATAGTAATGTCAGGCATTCTTAATTTACTGTAGTAAACCTTCTAAAATGTAGCTGTGAGAAAATGGAACCTGAGGTGAAGAGGAAAGGGGGTTATAGATGAAAACTAAATTTTCATTTTCTTAAACATGACTTAAATAAAGTTGAAAACTTTTATTATAATTGAGCAGTTTTTCTCCCCATCCAGAGAAAGCAAAATGAAGGTCCCTCTGCTATGCTAACTCAGCATCTTTCTTTCTTTCTTCTTTCAGCAACCATGCAGCAAGTGGCCAGGACAGTGGCTAAGGTGGAACTCTCAGACCATGTGTGTGATGTGGTATTTGCGCTCTTTGACTGTGATGGTGAGTGGGGCCCTCTGGAGTCAGCAGAGAAAACTGAACAGTATCTCAGCCCTCAGCATCATGACATTGAGAAATAGAGCCCTTGGGCCTGGTTTGTGTTTTCCATTTTTTCTTGTTGTTGTTATTCCAGTTTGCCTATAGGCCCTAATTAATCAGTGGCCATAGGATCTTAAAAATGGACACACAAATGTTAGACCAAGTTTGCTGCTTAGTAGTCTGAGAGCACTCAAATATTTGAGTGTGTCTAGGTAGAAGTTGGTACTGACCTCTCTACCTCCCAGGGTACATTTCATTCGGTCCATCTGCTTAGCGTTCCACTTCCACACAGTGCTCCATAGTGTCTGAGGCCTCCTCAGTGGTCTAGCCTGTTTCAGAGATCCTGATTTTGCTCTCCATGATTATTTCTCAGCTGTGTAGGCTGATACAATAATACTACTAATACTAATAATGGAGGCTTACTTTTTTTTCAGTGCTTGCTATGAGCCAGGCACTGTGCTACGCAGCTTATTTAATCTCCTCTCCAAGGTATTATTATTAACTGCGTTTTATGGTGAGGAAACTGCGACTCAGAGAGGTTATTTTCCCAGAATCACAAAGCTAGTGGCCAGGATTTGAACCAAAGCTATACCGCCTCCCTCTCTACTCTGTTACTGCTTTGTCTCACAGCCAGGATTCATTGTTCATCATCCTCCAGGGAGCTAGACTAATGGAATTTAAGAAACGGCTCAAAGCTCTGACCTTTGTAAAACCGTCCCTTTTGGTCTCAGCATAATGAATCACTCTGACCTTTTCATTCCTTAACTTGATTCAAATTTTTCTGTGTTAGTACATCTTACATTCTGTCTCTGTGTATATGACTTAACTTTCCTACTAAATTGTGGGCTTTGAAGGGTACAAGTCTTATTCACCATTGGACTTTGCATAGAATCTAGAATAGTACTTTGGACATTAATGAAAGCATTCCTTAATGCTCTAATTATTTGAATCTCCATCCTGCACCCACAAACCAATGTCTGATTCAAAGGAAACTTCAGGGATAGGACAAGGAGATGAGGTATTCTCTAGAGCTGCCCTGTGCAATTGGATATCATTAGTCCCATGTGACTATTGACATTTAAATTAGCAACTCAGTTCCTTGGTCTGTCTGGCCACATTTCAAGTGTTTGGTAGTCACATGCGGCCAGTGGCTACTGTATTGGACCAAAAAAAAAAAAAAGAAAAGAAACCAACTGCCATTAAGTTAATTCCAACTCCTACAACTCCTACTGATCTATAGGGTTTCCAAGGCTGTAAATCTTTACAGAAGTAGATTGCCTCATCTCCATCCTGTAGAACAGCTGGTGGATTTGAACTACCAACTTTCTGGTGAGCAGCCAAATGCCTTAACCACTGTGCCACCAGAGCTCCTTTCTTTATTGGACAGCACAGACATAAAATATTTCCACCATCACATAGAGTTATTGGGATGGCATCACTGTAGAGAAACAAACTTTCCCCAGATTTTCTTTTTACTCTAACAACTTCTAGGTGGAATGAACTTCTTCCCAAAAAAAAAAAAAAAAATTATTTTTATAATTTTTGGAGCTGTACCTACATTGAGACACCATCCTACAGCTGGCCTGTGAAATGAATATGAGAACAAAGGCAACCAGCCTCTCCATTTCCCTCTTCTCCGAGGAAGTCCTGGGAAAGGATGTTTGATTTTCCAGCCAATTAGCAGGAGGCTCTGTCAATATCCACTTGAGTCACCTTAGGAAAATCACTTATCATCTCTAAAAACCCAAAATTCACTGACGTCTAGTTGATTCTGACTCACAGTGACTCTAAAGGACACAGTAGAATTGCCCCCTAGGGTTTCCAAGACTGTAAATCTTTATGGAAGCAGACTGCTACATCTTTCTCCTAGAGAACAGCTGGTGGGTTTGAACCACTGACCTTTTGGTTAACCACAGTCCTTGACCACTATGCCACCAGAGTTCCTTCTTTAGGGTTTATTAACCAATAGAAAAAGGAAGTATATTGAATAAAAAGCCATTGTTATTTCCACCAGTGCATGATCTCAGGTCAGAATGTCAGAGGATCAAGAATTCCAATTTGCAGACAGACTTGTTAATCACAGAATTGTAGCATTGCACTCACAAATCACACATGTACATAAATGACACAGTCACATTCCTGGTTTGTAGTTTACATAATCCAGAGTGGTCAGTTCTGGCCTTAAGGAAGCTGGAAGCCAGTCCCATAGGAGTTTGAGTGAAATGATCTCAGGTTTTTTCCATTTTCAAGCTTCTTTTTATATAAAGTCTAGGAATCCTATTCAGACATTTCTGTTGGCTTAATTACATTCTTTTTTTTTTTTCAGTGTACCCTCTTAATTATGTTTTGATCTATTTTACTGATTGTTTTTCAGCTAAGCCAGGCTAATTTTTAACATTTTATATCAAAGTATAATATATATACAGAAAAGTGCAAGTATCATAAGTATACAGCTTGGTGAATGTTTAAAAACTGAGTGTGCCACTGTAACCAGCATCATCCAGGTCCATCACATTACCAGGATGGCAGGGTCTCATGGTGCCACCTTCCAGTCACTTCCTTCCCCCAGGGAAGCCACTTCCCTGACTTCTCCCTCCATAGATTACCTGTTTTTTTTTTTTTTTGTCTTATATAAATAAGGCAAGGCAGGTTTTGTGAGGTATCTTATCTCTGAAGCTCCTCAGCCAGAAAACATGGGACAGTTTAGGTTTTCAGGTACTTTCTTCAGCGGGAAAAAAAAAAAAAAACTCCAAACTTGCTGCCATCCAGTCAGTTCCAACTGATAGTGACCCCTCCTTGGGTTTCCAAGGCGGTATCTCTACAGAAGTAGATCACCCATTTATTCCCCCTTCCCCAAACTTAATCATTGTAAAGGTTTGTTAGTTTCTTGCTCACCACCATAACAGCTGTCATTCTTTTAATCAGTAGACATTTATTTACTCCTGGGCTTTCTGGTCAAAAGATAACTTGTTCTCTGTCATTGGAGTGGTTGCTGTTCCATGTGGCTGGAGGTGACTTCTGGTTAAACGAGATGCTCTCCAAGGTCTCGGTCTCTCACAGTCATCAGCGTCTACCACTGAAGAGGATGGAATGGCAGGCTGTGGGGAGACAGGCTAAACCCAAAAGGCCAGATTTTGATTTTGGTTATCAGCTCATCATCTCTTACCTGTATTATCATACAGGCTCCTAAACTGGCTCCCACACTCCGGTTCAGAGATGCATCCCCTTGATGCATCCTCACATATCCAGCCAGAGAAATTGACCCAAAATGGAAATATGACTACATCTTGTGCCTCTGCTTCCAGTCTTTCTCTGGTATTCCACAGCCCAAAAGATAAAATGCAAGCCCTTTAGTGTGAATACAAGATCCTTGGGGACTTGTCTCCTGCCTACTTCTTCAGTTTACTTGCCATACCCCCACCTCCATGTATTCAGCAGTACATACCTACTTAGTTCCCCAGCAGCCACGCTGCTTCCTGCCTGTGCCTTTGCTTTGCTGCTGACACTGTTATGTAGCAGGGAGAGGGTGGGGTTCTTTAGCTTCTACTGACAACGAATTGGAGAGGCAAAATGTCCACACAAACCAAAGTTTTTTTTTATTATTATTATTATTTTATTATTATTTGGGTGAAGATTTACAGAGTAAATTCACTTTTCATACAGCAGTTCACATATACTTTGTCTCATATCATTGACCAAAATTTACAATGCAACAGCTCCCCTCCCACTTCCTCCCCATAGTTACCTCCTCCCAGTGTCCATCCCTCCATACTCTTCTGCGCCCTGAGCTGTCTCCCTGTGCACAAGCAGCCCTTCCTTCTCCCATGATTGTTCTCTCCAAGGCGTGTGTCTACTTGAGGTAAATGTTTAACTCACATGCCTGTACTTTGTTTGGCTGGAAACCACAGTTGTGGGTTCAATTTCAGACCTGAAGGGCAGCTAGGGGCCATAGTCTCAGTGGTTCCACCAGGCTCTATTGGACCAGCAAACCTGGTCCCCACCTTCTTTTTCTTTTTTTTTCTTTTTGCCTCCAAATGGTTTTGAGTTTTGTTCCACATTGTTCTCCCTCTCTATGCAGGATCTACTACATCCCTTCCAAGTGGATGACAGTGGTAGCCGGGCACCATCTAGTTCTTCTGGTCTCATAGTTGTATAGGTTGCAGATCGGATGGTGTACCAGTCGCTAGGACTGATTGTTTCCATTAATTTTGGTTTTCTTCTTCTTGACGAGGAGAGACCCATTGTTGCATCTAGATGGCAGCTTGCTAGCTTTTAAGATCCCAGTCGCTACTCGCCAAAGTAGGAGGTGGAACAATGTTTTGTATAGTATGTTATGCCAATTGAGCTTGATGTCAAACCAAAGTTTATTAAAGAAAAAGGAGAGGTGAGGGGCTCTTTCTACCTAGCCTCCTGTCTTTTCCAAAACAAAGGATTTCCTAGCATTTACAAAGGGTTTTAGGCAGGAATGAGGCATCATCTTTATTGATAAAATAGGTGAGGGTTTGTGGGGGGGGGGGAAAGGTAGGGTTATGAAAATCAGGAATGTTCGTAGGAAGTAGCCAAGATGTATTCCACCACAGAGGCTACAGAACAAAGATGGAACCCGTCACAAAGACTGATGAAATGCTTGCCATGATTTATTCTGGGATGTTGGCTTATGCATGATATCTCTGGACTTGGTTTGAGTCTCTACAGGGGATTCCTGTTCTTGACTGCCTCTGGTGGAAGGTCCTTTTATAGGTCAAGTTGAATTTTACTGCCTCATGCTCTGCACCTGGTGAGGTACTTGGAAAAACAACTCAGGAAGTTTATCAGAATTTTACAGTGGTCAAGCTTGTGGGGCTTTTGAAATGTAATTTTATCTTGCCTAAGGGCCTGGTTTGGTGATTGCCAGTAATTCTCAGTCTTACCAGTGGCAAGAATACTGGCTAAGCGGCTGCTTGATGCAGCCAGCCCTACCTATCTCACCACTAACTGGAATGCCTTCTCCATCCTACTCCCCTTTACTCAGCCAGTCTGCTCTTCCTTTAGGATTCAACTCAAAAGTCACCTCCAGGAAGCCTTTACTGACCTGCACTTACACCACCCAGCCAGGAATAGATATTTATTATTGCCTATTAGAGCACTTACCTCACTGTTGAGATCATTTATTTCTCTCTCCCATAACCTGGGTGTATTTCAAAGTCAAGGACAGGGTCTTGTTTATCTTTTATTCTCAACACCTAATATAGGACCTGCCATATAGTATATTCTCATTCAGTTGTCGTTAACACTACATTGAACTGTCCCTGAGTTACAGTCAGAAAAATCCAAGGAGCAAATCAGTTCATTTTAAGTCAAGCGAATAAGGTTTGGTTGTGAGAGAGCCTGGGCTTTCGAGACCTAGTATGAACAATGGAACTTTCTTTAGTGGCTTTTGTTCCAACTCATCTTTGTTCTGTTTGCCTCTTCCTCTAGGCAATGGGGAGCTAAGCAATAAGGAATTTGTTTCCATCATGAAGCAACGGCTGATGAGAGGCCTGGAGAAGCCCAAAGACATGGGCTTTACCCGCCTCATGCAGGCCATGTGGAAATGTGCACAGGAAGCTGCCTGGGACTTCGCTTTGCCCAAGCAGTAACCCAGAACTGCAAGAAGGGGTCACCTCCTCCACCCCAAGCACCCTGGAGCAGAAACAGGCACAGCCCTTCTTGATGCTACTTATGGAGATAGTGCTCCCTTCCCCCTGGGAATGACCTCAGGATTCCACCAGTTTCCCTTCTCTACCATCCCCCATCCCAGTGTTCTGCTAGGCCCTGGTTCTGCTCCATGATCATCGCATAGGTTGTCAAAAACATGAACAAGTCCTAAAGCTCAGACCTTGGCCCCTCCATCAGCATCACCCTTCAGCACCTTATGGCTAAAGACTACTAGGAATCGTCTCACGCCTGCCATCCTGGGAAACGGCCAGTTCTCAGATCAGTTTTGCAGTACATTTCTATTAACAAGAACATTCTTTGCTTTTCCTATTGCTGGCGTTTTTAAACTACAAGTTGGAAAAACCCCTGGCAGGCAAAAGGAAGCCAGTGGTGAATGATAATGAGGGTGACCCAGGCACTCTGAGCTGGGGGAAGCCCAGGCAAGAGGAGGGATCTCTGTCATTCCCCGGGGTGGTTCTGAGGCCTGCTCCAGAAAAGCTGTGTACACAGTGATAGCTGAGCAGATTTCAGAATTTAAAGCAGCTGCTTCGTGGCTCTCTCCAATTCTTTCTTTTCCTCTCAGGCTCCCTGAGAAGCCTCTGTCATGTCTCTGTGCTTTATGAGCAGCAGTGATTGAGTTCCTGGTCCCTGCAAGTGCCGGCCCCTCTGGAGTGCACCTCTGAAGCTGAGGCCTGGCTCAGAGCCCGTCTGCCCTCTGTCTCAAACACTTGTAAAATATTACTTTAATTATACCAGTTTCCAATAAACCCCTCAAAGGCTCCCGTCTCCTTTATTTTAGGTTCCTCTGGGAACCTTTTCATTCCACTTCCCCACTGGGTTTGCAATCCAGACTCATTTTCTTCCTACCAGAGTATGGTTCCCCCTGATGAAAAGCAACTTTTGGCACAAACAGAAGGGAGAGCATTTGGAGGTTAGTGGCAGTATTGCCCCAGCACTGCTTAGTTAGCATTTCATCCTGGGACAAGTTAGAGTCATTGATTACTTGTGCCCCATGATAAAGAACTAAGATGAATGGTAGATATGTGAGGAGTCATCTAGTATGATGGCCTAAGTTTGAAGAACCAAAGCAATTAGTGCTGTATAATAGGCCCAAGTTCTGGTTATAACTCTGTTATAACTCTACCATTAACTCACTGTAGCCTTAAGCAAGGCATTTCCCCTTATAACATGAGAAATAGGGTTGAGTTTAATGGGCTGTAAGGTTTCTTCCAGATTCAAAAGCCTGGGCTTCAGCTCTCCTCCAGAACTCCTGCAGCCTGCAGACTTCCAGCTGATTCCTGGTATGGCAGTGTCTTGAGGCTGTTGTAATAGAACAAAAGTCCCTGTGAGGTCACTGGCTCTGAATGTTGGTGGGGTGTGCTTGTCATCCAGAAGGGAGCAGAGGCCTGGACCTCTACAAAAAAAAAGGTACAACCGCAGTATTTCCTCAGGGCAATTTAAGAACCTCACTTCCAACATCCTTTCTGGGAGCAGATTAGATTATCTACCATTACCTACTTCATCTCTCTTCCACCTTCCCTCTCTCAGGCTGTACCTAGTATCCCAGCATAGGCTTTGCTTACTCATTGCCCCAGATTCATTGGCAAAATGTGAGCTGCTCTTAAATTTGTCCCAGAATTCCAGAACTACTCTTTCCCCTTGTTACCTACGAGGTTCTGAGTTTAGTTGCCAGCATGACTGAATAAACACACACAGGTGAAGAGGAGAAAGCACAGCTTTTATTAAGTTCATGCGTGAGCTGACACAGAGCAGGAAGTCCCTCAGATTCTGTTTACCCCTAGGCACTCGCTAAATTTTTTTTACAAGGTTGGGATTACCTCATAACCATGTTATACATACAATTTCATAATGATAACAGGTTAAGCATACACAGTAAGGGATACAAAGATGGCGGTCCTCAGCATGTCTCATTATAATGTTAAATCTCCACCCTGGGGTGTGCGAGTTACCATGCAAATATCGCCTTTTACCCAGATTAAGGCTATTGCTGGGTCAGTAACCAGTGATGTTCAAAAACACCTGCAAAACTCCTGACTATCTGTTTTTTCTTAAAAAGTTACATTTCTAAAATATTAATCCATTATTGTAAAAAGTCAAGGAAAGGTTTATATATGGACAGAAATTTTCTTTGCTGATTGTCAGGGGTGGGAGTGGAGAGGAGGGAACACTGTTAGATAGGTAGAGACAAGTACTGATTTGGGTGAAGAGAAGGGCAATGTACCAAATGTGAGTGATCAACACGGTGGCATTGAGGAAGAGGAAGACAGAGAGAGGTGCATGGGAGGTACAGACAACAAATATGAACCCTTTTACACATACAGTACTGCATTGTCATTGATGTACAGGTGGACAGATGGGTGGACAGGCTGAACTATTAGGTATGTTTATGCAGGGGGGAGTGTGCTCAAGACCATGTATAGGGTTGGCAGACAATGATTCTACAAGTGTATTTGTATGTTCTGTAAGAATCTCCGGGTATATAGTAGAGTTGACAAGGGACAAGGTTGTAGTCCATTCTTAGCCACAGCCAGCTACCCAGAGGGAGCAAGTAGTTGGCCCTATGGGCTTGGGACCATAGTCGCAGGGGACATCAAGCTCAATTGGCATAACATACAACACACAAACATTGTTCCACCTCCTACTTTGGCGAATAGGGACTGGGATCTTAAAAGCTTGCAAGCAGCCATCTAGATGCAACGATGGGTCTCTCCTCATCCAGAGCAAAGAAGAATGAAGAAAACCAAAGATGCATGGAAACAATTAGTCCAAGTGACTGGTACACCATGCGATCCTTAGCCTATATGACTGAGACCAGAAGAACTGGATGGTGCCTGGCTTCCATTGTCAACCATTTGGAGGGGAAGCTATATAGGAGATCCTGGATAGAGTGGGAGAACAATGTGGAACAAAACTCAAAATCATTTAAAAAAAAAAAAAAAAGGACCCGGTTTGCTGGTCTGACAGAGCCTTGTGGAACCACTGAGACTATGGCCCCTAGCTGCCCTTCAGGTCTGGAATTGAACATACACCTGTGGCTTCCAGCCAAACAAAAAACAGGCATATGATGAGTTGAATATTTACCTGAGGTAGATACACCTCTTGGAGAGAACAATCATGGAAGAAAGAAGGGCTGTTTATGCACAGGGAGATAGCTTAGGGGGCAGGAGTGCATGGAGGATGGACACAGGGAAGAGGTAACTATCAGGAGGAAGTGGGAGAGGAGCTGTTGCATTGGGGTAAATTGTAGTCAGTGTCATGATTCAAAGTGTATGTGAACTGTTGTTTAGAAAGTGAATTTGCTCTGTAAATTTTCACCCAAATCATAAGAAAAATTAAAAAAAAAAAAAATTACAGCTCTTCTTATCTCATTGAGATGAACCTTGAGAAAACTCTTCAGGGAACACTGTGCATCCTTTAATGAATGCTATACATGACCCTGATCCTCCTCCTGTTTGGTCTGAGATCCTGCCAAATCTGTTATTCACATCCTTTCTGAGCAGCCAGAAGAGATCTACTGAGTGAACTGTGTTTGCTAGAAGCTGAAAGCCAGAATGTGGTGTTGGGTAAGGATCTCACTGGCAACATCTTGAAACCCAGCACCCATGTGCTCAAGAAGATGGGACAGCCTCACAACCTTGGCATAATAGGGTGAATCCGCCCAGTAAGAGGGCTAGGCCAAAAGGGGCCAAGGTCCCCCGAGGAAGGCCTTGGACAAGGTGGCATTTGATCGGGCTGAGTAGGATTTTAGTAGGCAGAATTGGGGGTGCAATGGGGAGCATTTGGAATACAAGGCTGATTCATACTTCTCTACTTTTTATTCAAATTGTTTCTTCTACCTAGAGGGAATAATCTTCTCCTCCCTGCTTTAGTCTCAGATCAGATGTCCCATCTTAAGACTTCCTTGATGCTTTCCTAGACTATTATTAATGGCCCATCCTCTGCCCCCTAAAGGATCACTTGCTCACCCCTAACCACACTACTGTAATTCTATACAATTCTTGTGAGTTTATCACCTTCAAAGTTCAAACCCAAAACAGTGACATGATCAAAGAGACAGTCCACCACCAAAAACTAAACGTAACTGGAACAGTATAAACATGATAACAGCAATGCCTCAACAAATTCCTCTCTCACACCTACAACTGTTCTCTACTTTGTTGTTGTTCTCTGCTTCTTAAAAAATATATATATGTAGTTCTCCACTTCTATCCCATAGGCTTCCAACCCTCTCCCTGCCCAAACTTTTTTTCTCCTGATTCTGCATCATATATGCCCAAAAGAAACCAATAAATAAAAGGCAAGTAGGACAGTCCCCAGAGGTAGGGGAGGGAAAGCAACTCAGAGGGGACCCACACTGCTGTGTTGTCTTGACTTTGGGCTCCAGCATCATCCAAGAGGAGAAGCGGGGAGAATATGGAGAGAGTTACTAAGGAAAAGGGGGCTTAAGAACGTGCATGATCTGTAAAAATTCTTATTTTAGTAGCTGTTAGTGCCCCACCTAGTTTTAGCTCTGGGTGGAGCATATACTCGGGAACCTAATGGGACTAAGCACCCAAGGAGAGGTGCAGGCAGTGACTGCTACCAAACAAGAAGGGACAGCAGCACGGGAGCCCGGAGCCCTGGCCAGAGCATCCACTTCATGCCCAAGCAGGGTAAGGTGACTCCACAAGGCAAAACCAAACTCACTGCCGGCCAGTTGGTCCTGACTCATAGCGACTCCGCCTTGGGTTTTCAAGGCAGGCAGCTCTTAAAAAGGAGCAGAGTTCAGCTTTCAGGCGTTAACTGCCACCTGCTGGCAAGAAGGTTTGGTGCAAGGAATCCGGCTTGTAGCCAAAACAAAAATCAAACTCACTGCCCTCTAGTCAGATCCGACCCATAGCAACCCCTCCTTGGGTTTCTGAGGTGGTTTCACTGCGGAAGAAGATTGCCCAAACTTCCTTCTGAGGAATAGCTGGTGGGTTTGAACCGCCAGCCTGGTTATCAGTCAAATGCCTTAGGCACTACTCCACCAGAGGAGGGAGACAGCTTGAGTTCAGCCTCCGCCAGTCCTAGTCCTGAGAATAGGCCTTCCAAGGACCTGGGCAGCATGGACGGGGCGGATGAAATGACCAACCAGAGGTGCAGCATAAGCGTGAAGACCAGCACATGGATATGGCTGTCAAGGAGAGGAGGAAAGGAACACCACTCGTCTTGTTCTCTGGGACCCCAGGATGGGAATTTTTACCAACAACCAAGAGGCTATCATTCACTGTATTCATTCTGTAACTTTACTGATTCCCTACTACGTGCCAGGCACTGAGTGAGGTCCTCAAGGAATTTATGTTTTAGTGAGGGAACAGAAGAAGCAACAGGGACGAGTGTCCTGTGAGAGCCCTCAGAAAAGCAGAAGGGCCACCTAATCCAGACTATCCTGACTGCCACAGCATGACCCGTAAAAAGGCAAATTAACCTCGGAACAAAAAAGACATCCAGTTTGACTGGGACTTACAGGAAAGGTGTGAGGGCAAGATCTCCATCTCAAGTTAGCTGGAGACAGGCTTGATCATTACTGTAATGAAGGTCACTGAATTGTATGGGTAAAATGGAAAAACTTTTGCTATGTATATATTACCACAATAAAAGTTTTTTAAATAAATACATGTAAAATACATATAGGAGCTCTGGCGGCATAGTGCCTAAGGCATTTGACTGCTAACCGGAAGGCTGGTGGTTCAAACCCACCAGCCACTCCTCGGAAGGAAGATTGGTCAATCTAC